TTGGAGATGACCCGAACGGGCTCCAACCGCGACTGAGGAAGAGAGTATCCCCGAATACGACGTCTTGGTGACCAACCCACCGTATTCACAAGAGCATGTTGAGCCTTGGCAGCCTTGGCTCGGCGACAGATCACTCTGTTTGGTTTACGTTGCAGAGGTTTACATTTGCAGCATCATCGAGTATTCGATGCATTGTGATCCAAGCCCAAGGACGCCATCTTTCGCTTTGCAGCCAAGAGCAAGCGCCCAAGCTGTTTGCTTGTGCCTTGGCCAGCAACACATACTTGATTTTGAAATATTTTGAAGGTTTCAACCAAAACAATTCAACGCACCCAACTAGCTTGCCAAAATATGAATTTCCCGATGTTTACACGAATGCAGGTTTGCTTCGCTGCTGAGACCTGATGTCACAAAATGGCTTCATGACCTTGGACTCCATGAAAACCATGGTTTGAATGGCACTTTCTGGTTTCGACATCTCCAGACATTTTTGTTATGAAAAAAACATGTGTGAATCTTTTTATTCCCGAAAGCATTGCGAAGGGTTCTTCCGGAAAATCCCTTGAACACTGACACTTCGACACGTACGCTTACACACTGACACTTCCACCACATTCGCACGACATACACTGACACTTCGACACTGACACTTACACATACACACGGACACTCGGCAAGCACGCAGTGTAAGTATGGGTACGCAAGCATGCAATGAGTAGGCAAGTGTGAGTTGAGCATGCAAGCATGCAATGAGTAGGCAAGTGTGAGTATGGAAAACTAGCACGGGAGATGTCCTAATGAGTGAGTATGGAAAACTAGCACGGGAGATGTCCTAATGAAAAAACATTTCCCCACTTTATAAATTCTCTTTTCAAGGCGGAGGGCGGGACGAACAGCGTCAACCGAAAGTGCAACCCTCTGCGGAGATCGTGCGTGTCGAGTGCGCGAAATGCAGGCGAGAGTGCGATTTGCCGGGTGTGCGCGCAACCCTCTGCGGAGATCGTGCGTGTCGAGTGCGCGAAATGCAGGCGAGAGTGCGATTTGCCGGCTGCGCGCGCAACCCTCTGCGGAGATCGTGCGTGTCGAGTGCGCGAAATGCAGGCGAGAGTGCGATTTGCCGGGTGCCCGCGCAACCCTCTGCGGAGATCGTGCGTGTCGAGTGCGCGAAATGCAGGCGAGAGTGCGATTTGGCGGGTGCCCGCGCAACCCTCTGCGGAGATCGTGCGCGTCGAGTGCGCGAAATGCAGGCGAGAGGCGTGGAGTATCTGGGGAGCTGGGAGATGAGCACTGGTGACTTTGTAGTACAACTGTAGTACGCGGAGTAGCTGGGGAGCTGGAAGCTCAGAACTGGTGACTTTGTAGTACAACTTTAGTACGCGGAGGAATCTGTGGAGCTGGAAGCTGAGAACTGGCGACTGCGTAGTACAACTTCAGTACGCGGAGTAGCCGGGGAGCTGGAAGCTGAGAACTGGCGACTTTCTAGTACAACTTTAGTACGCGGAGCAATCTGTGGAGCTGGAAGCTGAGAACTGGCGACTTTGTAGTACAACTTTAGTACGCGGAGTAGCTGTGGAGCTGGAAGCTGAGAACTGGTGAGTTTCTAGTACAACTTTAGTACGCGGAGCAATCTGTGGAGCTGGAAGCTGAGAACTGAGAACTGGCGACTTTGTAGTACAACTTTAGTACGCGGAGTAGCTGGGGAGCTGGAAGATGAGAACTGGCGACTTGGTAGTACAACTTTAGTACGCGGAGTA